TTTGTAGATGAATTGTCGATGATCTTTCAACGTGAATGTGACAGTGGAAATGGACACTGAAGCTTTTCCAAGACTCACAACCACTAAGAGCAAAGCAGGCCACATGTTTCTGATGTTTATATAAAGCTTCTTATTCTTTCATAATGATTTAGGCATCTGATTTCAGGTATTTTATGGCAAAGGCAGAGGTGGTCTTACCGTTACAAATTGATTAAAGTGTGAAATTAGATTTTCTTAAAAAAAAAAAAATTATGCAGCTTCATATACTTTAATTCAGTAATGTAATCAGATCAGTTTTAATTAAATAAAAACAAAAACACAATACGATATATAAGAGAAGAAAAATGAAATGGTTAACATTCCTGAGAAATAATGAGGTCAGTCTTTTAATCAGTGTTGGGCAATGTTACTCAGATATCATTTATAATGTATTACTTGTTACTGATACCGGTAAAGCACAACACTGCACCAGCATAAACATCATTTTTTCTCTTTCTTTAAAATAAATGCTTTATTCAGAACGGCAAAAATGAAAAACATATAACCAAAAACATTTTTTACAGGCTTCAAGCCTAAATAAATTTACTTAAAGTGAAACTGAATCTTCCAGTCTGTTGGAAATTCTTCATATAATACAAACACTTGCTTGTCTCTTTTATTGGCACCAAAATAATGTTTGCACTTTTTATGTGCATTTTACTTACTTGATGTTACTCACATTAGGATTTAAAAAAAGTAACTCAATTAGCATTTATTTTCGCACCATTTGCAGAGTCAGAAAAGCTGAAATAAATGCTTCAAATTACTTGCTGTGTTATGTTTTTTGTGGCTTTTTTTGATTTATTTGTTTTTTTTTATAAATGTCTCGTTGTGCAACTAAAGCCTTGATCTTCCTACTGATGAGAACAAATAGTAGATGTAGTGTGGTTGTAAAAGAGTTGCACACGATGCATCTGTTTGTGGTAAGAGAGCTACTGAAGAGAGCAGATGGCGGTGAACGAGTGGACGGATCAGCCCTCTTTCCTGACACGTTTAATTCCTGCCTCTATAAAGCCGCTTGAATAGTTTCACCTTTCAGACTCAAATGACACACTGGATCAATTTACTACTAAATGCATCCTCTCTGTTTCTAGACTGCTTATAGTGTCACGCTCACACTCTTTGTCTCTTTTTCTCTGCTTTGTGGACATGCTTGTTTACTCCATTAGTAAATGGCTCATAAATAACGAGTCCCTGGTGTCATGTGATTAGCTCCATCAGTGAATGAACTATCTGTTTCTTTGTTTATTTTTTATTTACTTTTTGCTTTCTTCACAAAAAGGCATAATTGTGCAAATAATCACACCTAGTCTGAACTTGTGATACCCATACAGTGAAATCACACATCTAAAAGAATAAACATGTCTCGAAGGGATAGTGTACAGTTAAATATAAATCATTTCACGGTGTTCAGGTCTCACAGCATTCTTCAGGTTTGATGTATCCCTGTCATCCTGCTGTCTTTGCTGGAATGTAAAATGTCTTTGCCATTTTGCAGTTCTGTTCTTCACGTTTTCTCATTTTATCTGGTTGCTTTTAAAACTCCAGCCACTCTTTAAAAAGTTTTTGAGCACTTCTTATTTTGCATATTCTTGGATCCAGAAACACATTTTATCCACAAAATAAAAAGTCTAAATTAAGTGTATAATTGTTGTTTTAACATAGCCAATATTATTTACATGAATAAAACTATGCAAAATGCACAGTATGAGCCAAAATAAATTGTTAGCAGATGCCAAGCAAAGTCTATGAATGCTGCAGAGTTCTTTGTAGTCAGTAAAATGTCTGATGGGGGTTCTGTACAAATAAGAACTCCAGATTCCACCTCATCAGGTAATTTGTTCATTCTTACGAACAGTTCTGTCAGCTAATGTCTAGGTTTTAACACTATAAACTAAGTTCCCTCGTAACTTCCGAAAAATCCCAAAACTGTCTCTCTGCAAGTGAGAGACAGAAGTCTTCATGCACAAATCTGTCATCATGGCTTAAAGTGCACATCAGTCAAAACTTTTCACAGATTCTGAGTGGAGCCCAGAATGCCAAAAACTCTGAAACAAAACGCTTGCTCTCATATAACGGTAAACTGTTCACTTATCTAGGGTATTCGCCATTGAGTGCTGGCATCTCACTCATCTGCGAATTTTTAACACCTTCTCCTGGTTCCTCCAGTTCCTGCTTTAAGTCTGAGCAAATGTTGTCAGCAACACCATTTACCCAATTACTCACGCACTTTTAGAGACTTTCAAGCAAATGACTTCACGTGTGTTTTGAAATGTTGAGGTTTCAGAATCGCTCAGTGGAGTCACAGTATCATTTTAGAGATGACATGATGATCGGCAGACTTCCTCTTATTAAGACTGTTGAATATGGCTTGTTTAAACTGGCAATTGAAGCAGAGCACCAATGATGTGATTTTTATACAGTTCAACTATACTATATGTTAAACTATAAAGTTAAACTATAATGTTAAAAAGCCCCTTTTGGCTTTGGGGGTCTCTAAAACCAGGCTGATATGCATGCAAGGTCAAAAAACACTTTCAATGTCTTATAATGTGCATTTATTTTACCTAATTATCCCAATGACTCCCATATGATTTGTTCAGCAATTCATTTGTTCCCAAACCTAGCATACAGTATACTCTATTCTTAATAACCCCCAGTAATAACAGTAAGACATATCCTGTAATTATCGACACAGTGTCGAAGTTGAACTGTTTTGAAAATTGACTGCACTGTGTGTGTGAGGAACAGGTGATGGTGGTCATAGCAAAGACAAATGGCAGAGGGTCGTGGGTTCAGAAACGCATTTCAATTGGTAAATAAAGAAGTACATGTCAAGTTTTCAGCATGTTTTTGTAAAAAATAGCTCCATAAAGATTTACCCTAAGAGATGCATTAAAAGCACTGATCTATAATAGATATGTGATTAAAAACCTTATGGAGCGATTAAAATTTATAACACACAAATAACGTTATGTATTTTGCAAACTACTTAAAACAAGGCAACAATTTTAATCACACTTACATGTTATGATCCGGAGGAAGAAACGGGTCCATATGAGCTGTAACAGTTACTGACAAAGTCCCTGTCAAAAGTCTGACCCAAAAATCTGAAAGTAAGTCCCATACATAATAGTCTCTGCTGCTCTTTTAATAGCAAATGGCCAATGAATCCTGTGTTGCAGAGTAGCTTATTGTATAACAAAAATTAGAAAAGTGACAGGAGTAAACACAGCACTATGTTGGCTTTACTGTGAAATTGTTGTTAAAATGAGCATTACCCCTTTATTCCCCACAGCCGAATCTCCATCTGTTAGTGATCGTCATCTTCGCATGATCAGTCCCGTGATCCCCCACTCTCCGCCAGCATCTGAAGGGAAATGCGCGTTCACAGTTTACAGGAACCAGTATTTCAAATTTGGTGATGTATCGTGTCAACAGCGACATGTTCAAGCAAAAGATCCAAACCCAATACATGTCATTTATTTGACTCTGAGTTGACTCTCTCGTTAAAGAATCAATAGTTTTGAACTCGATGCACTTTCATACTTAAAACTTAAAAAGATGGATGTTTTCATTCACTTAGTGCTGTGTTACACACTGCATTGAGGTTTATTTAAAAAAAATCCATAATAGGGGCTCTTTAACATTGCAGAATTATTCATTTTTCTTATAATTTTGAGTCTGTTTGAAGCTGACACAATCTCAGACAAAGGCTAGGTGCAAGAGACCATGTTTAGCAGCAGGATCTTTAATGATATTTGCCATCTGATGTTTTTGCTTGTATTTTCTGGAGTGACAGGTTTATGTGTCTTCGGAAAAGAGAATATTTGGTGGCGCCTTTGGCACCTTGCCACAAGTTTACCACAAACCCCTAGGCTTTTGGTAAACCACCTCAGGAAAAAGTTATAATCTTACTCTCTCCCCATCTCTAGCGTTCCACCACTCCTCATTTTAGACCACAAGCAGAGCGGCTCCAGCATCTCGTCAGCAAAATTGGAGCCACCTTTTTGTGTGGACCTTAGAGGGAGTCAATTTCACTCTAGTTTGTCCTCTTATCCAGCAATGTAGAGCTTTTTAGGCATTTAAATCAGCAGCTTCGCAACTAATTCAAGTGTTTTTTTAATAAAGACTTTTTTCTCTCTCTCCATTTTGGATCGGCATTCGTAATGTGCCATTAAAGTCTGCGAGTTGTAAATCATCTCAACTGATAGTCTTTCATTCCTCACCGTAATGCTGCCCATTGAATAATGAGCATCTCTGATTTATAATTCAGAGTGGAGAGCGTGAGAGTTAAGCATCATAACTAAACCACAGCCACTCACTGGAGCTGAAGCAAAACTGTTGCTGTAGCCACTAATTAAAGTGCACGTACACACGCGCACTCCTATTTACATCTTCATTTAACTCACATTATTAGCAGCAGCCTCGGAATACAGATGCTTTTTCCTCTGCTGAGCATATTTAACACATGGAAGAAAGATGAGTGTTTCAGGTGGCAAAATGCACATCCGCTGCAAGTATTAGGCAAATGACGCATGTTTTGCATACTAGAACGACTGTACTTCTGCTCCACGTTACTCAAATACATCAATGCAGATACGCTAATCCTGTCAGGTCCTTTGTTGTAGTGGCAGCCGAGGGAAAAGTACATCGTCTCAGGTGTGTTTTGCGGCCAGTAATCATTCTTTGTGCTGACTGGCAGGAGATAATGTAGAGGACAGACTACCCGTCGCACTGCAGGTTTTATCCTCTGTTGTGTAATAGAGATATTCAAGAGCAGAAATAAGATCATGCCAACCTCATTACTCACAGACCACCCGCTTCATTGGTTTCTAAATAATAAAAAAAAATGAAGATGTGTTCCAGATTAATAATGTGTTTTCGGTGCAGCTTAAATTTACAAAGCAATACTTCCAGCTCTGTTTATTACATTATATTGTTTTTGTTCTGTGCCACAGCCCGCAAGCTGAGGAAGATTGGACAGATGAAAGGTCCGGATGAGGTCGGAGCAGTTCAGGGCCCGTCGGAGACTGTCCAGTGCTTGTCGCCCAAGCCCAACCTGACTTTCCACTCGCAGTTGATCTTCCTGAACATTCTGGAGGCCATTGAGCCCGAGGTGGTGAACGCCGGCCATGATCATGGTCAGCCTGACTCAGCGGCTGCTCTTCTCACCAGCCTTAACGAGTTAGGAGAGCGGCAACTTGTCAAAGTAGTGAAATGGGCCAAAGGACTTCCAGGTAATTAAAGCCTGCCAAACTGTCACTCACTTTAGATGAAGGTGTTGACTTTTAAAAGGGGTCATTCATAGTTTTTTATCCATTAATGTACTTCAAAAATACAAGTAATTTGACTTTGCAATACACCTCCTTAGGGATCAAATTTCATCTGTCTGTCGTTTAAAAATATATTTTAATTAACAAAAGCACACTCATTTACACTACAGACAATTTAGCTTATTCAATTCACCTGCAGCATGTCTTTGGACTCTGGGGAAAGCATCCTGAGGAAACCCACGCGAACGCACCCAACTCCACACCCATCGCTCTAATTAAAATTATTAAGATATAAATAATATATATTTAGAAGCTAAAAATATTTATATGCCTACAGTAATTGTCATCGATAAAGGACAACATAACAAGATGAAGATGTTGTCTGTTGTTTCAGATCAGGACAACAGCAGATAATTATTTGGTTGTGTGTTCACAGTGATTTAATTATGGTTTGTATTTCCAGTTCAGAGGCTTGAGGAGAGTAGGTGTTGTGTAATCTACTTCACTCTAATGGCTTTGATAAAAGGTTTTTTGAAAAGGCAGACTTCAGTCATATGTAAAACATCATGGCAAAGCCATCAAATCCTTTAGAGAGAGAAAGGGGCGTGTTTTGATTTGTAACAATTTTTTTTTTTAACCGCAGCATGTGATTAGTTTATGGAACCAGGCTGATGTGATTGGTTGCGGTTCTTCTGTTATTGATAGCATTAATAAAGCTGTAAGGCCTGGTGTTTTATTCTGCACTCAAGCCAGTCATGAATCAGTTCTAAAGAAAGTGAGATCAAGTTTTAGCCTGGAATATTCTCAGGCTTTCCTTTTTCATTCTGAAAGGGCTGCCTGTTCTTCTGCAAGACTGAAAATTTTAAGTTCATTATATCATGTGTATACAGTATGTCATATATGTGATCTAGGGCTGCATGTTCTTGGAAAAACCTGACATTGCGATATTTTTTTTCTGCGATAAATATCACAATATTAAGTTATTTGGTTTTCTGGAGAGCCTAACAGTATTCAGGTACAGAAATGTAATATTCACAATGCAAAATAAAAATGCTTTTAACTGTTTGTCTTGTTTCTAGTCCAAATATCAAAAATAAAAATAAAAACCTTAGAGCAAGTAAAAATATTTTTTTAGTTTTCACCTTCAGAAGAACTAAGTAGAGCAAATTAAGTTTTAAGGAATCTGCAAGTGGTGTAAGTAAAATAAATTTGTTTTCTCTTTGAAATGTATGGACTAGAAACGAGAAAAATTCTTAGTAACATTTTTTTTTTTTTTGCATGAATCATATAAATTCCATATACATAGTTATTAAATACAATTCAGTAGCTCCTGGTCAACTATAAATCCGACTGGACATTGCATATCTTTGCGATGTGACTATTGCAGATGCGTGCATTGTGATATCGATGCTGAAACTATATATTTTGCTGCCCTAATGTGATCACACTTAATTTTACAAACAGCTGCCTGTGCTAAGAACCAGATAACTAAGGCTTTTATCTCAATAAACCTGTTAATAATTAGTAAGGCCAGTATCTTATCAATAGGCAGGTAAAAACCCAGTAGTTAATAATGGGAATCAATAATAATAATAACGGGAATACAATTTTTTGTTTGTTTTTTGGAGTTTTTTTGGGGGGAGTAATGGCAGGTAAAGTCTGATTCATGACTTGAGCTGACAGAGCTGAAATAGAGTCGTAAATGAAGCTGGTCTGAAAAAATAGCACCCAGGCAGCTGACAAACTGTGAGCTATAGGCAGTGAACACAAAGCACAAATACGTCTCCCATCTCTCACCGTCTCTCAGGTTTCCGTAACTTGCACGTGGATGATCAGATGACAGTCATACAACACACCTGGATGGGAGTGATGGTCTTTGCTCTGGGTTGGAGGTCCTACAAGAACGCCAACGCGCGGATGCTGTACTTCGCTCCAGACCTGGTCTTCAATGAGTCAGTCTCATTCTCTTTCTCTCACGTCCACACTGCTCTTATTTGCCTGTTTTCTTTTGTGTCCAGCATCCATCCGTGCTCTGCATTGTCGCTTTCTCTCTCTCATTCCATTTTCTTCCTCCGCCCATTTGTTCGTTTTGTAAATGTACTAATCCATCTTTCCTCACACTCATTTTTCTTTCATTTCTCCTCAGCGGCCTTTTCTCTACCTTATTCCATCTCTCTGTCTTCCTCTCTCTCTCTTTCTCTCTCTCAGTCGGGCAGGTACATATCTTGTACTTCATGCACACAATAACAGTCTCGTCGTGGATGCTTCCAAGATTCATTTATAATTTACTGCTGGCTTATTATGGTGTGGAGGATCTTTGTCACAAACACAATCCCGGGAGAGATTGGATTTTTTAGGGGGCTCGCATGCTTTCAATGGCCTTTTTCACCAATACCTGAAATAGAGACTTTCGTTCCCAAATGCATCTTGGCCATTTTCCATGCGAGTGCAGTGCTGCTATCGGAAATTGTGTTTTAGCCATGAAATAAATTTCTTTTAGCGGGTGATTTGGCAGTCATTAGATAACTGACCGCACTGTTTTGTAGGTATTACTGTGATTAGCAGATAGAAAGTGTAAATGTCCTGTGTCTGTCTGTTAATCTTCCTCTTTTCTGTCAGTCGTAGGATGCACGTCTCCAGCATGTATGAGCACTGTGTTCAGATGAAGCATCTCTCGCAGGAGTTTGTGCTGCTACAGGTCACACAGGAAGAGTTCCTCTGTATGAAGGCCCTCCTCCTGTTTAGCGTCAGTGAGTTTACCGCAGCGCCCGTGTGTGTGTGTGTGTATGGATGGTCACAATACACTTTTCTCATAGAATACTCTTGGATATTCACACCTGTTTTAATAATTTGAGGCACAATTCCCAGGTTTTGTGTTGTTAGATTTATTCGGTATGCTAAGTAAACATACCTAAACTGCAATGAGCCAATTAGCTGATTGTAAACACATAAAAAGTATCTGTACCCTAAAATGGGGACTTAGACTCACCTCAGAGAACTTATTGAACTTCTTATATTCAATAATTTAATTAATTTCCATAAAATACTCTGTAATTAACTATTTTATTATTAGTCGTTTTAAATTATTTACCATTTTAATGTCTCTTTTTTATTACTTAAAAAAAAATCCTTTTTCATTTTAAATTTAGCAATTCAATTTAAATGTAAATGTCTTGTATATTCAAAGGATAAAGTAGAATAATAATAACAATGGAAGAACTGTCCTTTAAACTTTATGTCCTACATTTTTGTTATAGAGTGTTAAACCTCATATAAAATGAATTAAAAATAAAACAGCTCATATAATATTTAGTTTGAACAGCTCATATAATATTTAGTTTGACCTCCTGAAGGTTAAGTACCGTCTTTCACTGACCATATGTTAAAAAAAGAAATAAAAGATACTATATTAAAACTTTCCATCCCTATTTCACACCCAATTTTTAGTTTTGTTCTCATTTCCCTATTTTATACCCAGTTTGTAGTGTATTTTCTATTTATATTACAAACAACCCCACCGCAGGGAAATAAATAATGCAAAAAGCAATAAGCATGCACACAAAACCAGTGCATTACATTGAAAACATGTGTGCAAGTTCAGATTAAAGTGTTTTATTTCTGTTTCTGCAGTTCCAGTGGAGGGGCTGAAGAGTCAGAAGTATTTTGATGAGCTGCGTCTGACGTACATAAACGAGCTTGATCGTTTAATCAACTATGGCAGGAAGACCAACTGTGCCATGCGCTTCCAGCAGCTGACACGACTGATGGACTCACTGCAACCAGTTAGTAACACACATGTGCACGCAACTAACAATTAGTTAATTACATTTATGCAGAAATCTTGCATTTTTTCTACAGAAATTCAAGGGAACAGAACGTTTCTTTAACAATAATTAGAATAAATGTTTCTTGAGCACCATATCAGCATACTCTAATGATTTCTGAAGGATTGTGTGACACTGAAGATTAATGATGCTTAAAATTCAGCTCTGTATCATTACAAAACTGGTGAAACTATAATAATTATTAATACTTTAATAATATCTCAGTGTATTGGTGTTTTTACTGTATTTTTACAAAATAAGCTTTGGTGAGACTAAAAGACTTATTTCAAAACACTAAAGAAGACCTACTATGCCCCCTTTTACAAGATATAACAAAAGTCTCTGGTGTGCCTTAAATATGTCTTTAAATTTTCAGCCCAAAGCCCACAAGTCATTAATCATACAGTGCTCTAAATACCATTTCGATTTTTAAAGGGGTAATGTAATGAGATCTCAACTTTTACTTGAGCTTTTGATATATAAGAGGTCATCTGACTAAAAGAGCGTCCTGTAAGATTTATAACTGAAAACGTCTTTATTACTAAACAAAAAGCTTTTATTGACACCAGGAGCAGAAAACGCCAGATCCTGTAATGTACCTGTCTTTAATGTCATAGGTAGGTTAAACACTGCCTCCACTGGAGAATATCAAATCCTGATTCTGTGGCACTACCTACTCACAAAGTAAAGGGGGAGGTGAATATCAGTTTAAAATGCAGAACTGTTATTCAATCATAGCAGTGGCCGTTTAATTTCATGCTTTCAAAGCAGACCACCCAGAAAAACGGCATATTCTCTGAGAAATCCAATGTAAAAAAAAAGCAGATTACTTATTGATTTTTATGTTTTGGGAGGAAAATCTATGCAAACGTCATATGATTACTTCAGGCAGATTAAAACCATAAAAAGCCAGTACATTACCTCATTAAGTGAACTTGTGTATTGCTTTAAATGCAAATGAGCTGTTGCTTCCCTTCCTATTACTGGAAGAATGTGGAGCCTTTACAGCCTGCGTCTCAGATACTCTTGTGCCAAAACATCTTTTTGTTTTTATCCTGTTTATCGTGGTCTTGTGATGTTGCATTTTCTCATTATCATGAAAGTTTATCATGTTTTTCTTCTCTTTAAAATTTGCTTCAAAGTCTTAAACTTCTAGTTTATATGGTAGCATGGCTCTGAATTTCAATTAAATCACTGTCATTCTTTCCAGCATAAACATACCATTCTATGTAAATTAGGCTCATTATTGATGAACCTTGTTCACAGTACTCAGCACTATTTGCATTTGGCGTATACTTTGAATCAAAGGTACGTACATTGCATTCAAGTTATACATTTTATCGGTTCATCCAGCCCCTGGGGTTTAATGCCATGACCTTGCCATCACAAGCGCCATGCTTTATTTTTTTGAACTGTTGGATCGCCTAATTCTAATTCAACTAATGTTGCACTTTTGCCATCTGATTAAAGCAGACAGTAAAATTCATTTTATAAATTTCAAGAGACTTTTTTTATCATGGCAGCAGCATTTCATCAAGTGATGGGAGAAGGTCATTATGACCTTGGTCATTTTTTGGCAATGTCTGCACTGATTAATGTTTCTTCAGCATATAAATATAATAACACACACACACACACACAACACACACACACACACTTATCACTTATTATATATATAATGTGACTAAATCTAGTAATTCCATTGGATCCTCTATCTTTCGTCAAAACCTTATGGCTCTGCCCACCTCCATTTAGAATCAAGTCCTCTTCACTGTTTGCTATGTCCATCCTTGTTTGCACTGCGAGCATAAAAAGAACTGGTTGTTTGAATAAGTACAACATTTGGTTAACTCAAGAGACTTTCAATCTTAACAGAGAGTCTAATTCTAGCACTTGCCACCAAGTCAAAGCCAATACTGCCCTTTGCATAATTCATTATTTTACAACCCGAGATTTTGGCCAAATATTTTCAAGGACAGAAAACACAGAGTGCTCACATAACTACAACGTCTACCTTTAAACCCCCCAAATTTAGCTAATTGTAGCAAGTGGTAAATGTCACTGTTATAAACAAGACAGCTTTTTTCATCCACATGAGGAAGTTGAACCTCATCCAATAAGATCTGAATTCATGATTCCTAAAGTGTTACCAGTTATTCATGCCATGTGCAGTTATTCAGCAGATGTCTGTAACATCTGACACTTAGACTAATGGACAACCTAATGTGATGCATTTACTGATGAGTGAAATCTCCAATATTAGGCGATCAGGCCAGTCATAACAGTGATATTCTGTGCCCCCGTCACTGACTGCCATGTTGTCCAACAGACATCGTCGTACAGTACCATTCAAACATTGGTGATTAACATAAAAAATGTGAAATGTGAAAATGTGCACATATGGTTTCTCTCAATGCAGACAGCTGGCATACCTAGAAAGGCTGGGCAAAATACAATTTAATCCAGTGCTACGGTCTGTGTGTGTATTTGTTTATTAATTAGAGAATCAATATATAACATTTTAATTATATTTAAATGATCCAAACGCCCCATAGCTATATCTGTAGGTGGTAGCTTGAATTTTTTTTGTTGTTGTTTTCGTTTCAAGTGACTTAGTGTTCTGTCATGCTGCGACACGCAATAAAGCTACTATATCAATGTAGAAACATTTTCCATTCTCACAGCTGAACAACCACACAAATATTATGACAATGATCACCTTAGGTGCTGATTATGTTGCTGTATGTAGTGTTAAATGTTACCAGTTTTAGTTTGAATACCGTTTTGCATGACATACTGAAAGCAAAGCAGATAGTTTACTTCAGATTTTAGAAATTAAATAACTTGCAAACATTGTGTGTGAAAATGAATGACACTCAGCATCTACTTTTAATGTTAAAGAGGTTAAATGTGTATTAATTATGTTATAAACCTTACCATTTCATTGTGACTTACCTGATAAGCTGATACTGAAAGCTTGTAAGACAAGCAATTGAGGGCAGGTTATTGTGAAGGATCAACTGAATCACAAATCACGTCTTACTAACTTTGTCAACCCAGTGTTGAGTTATTTAGAAAACTGTTATTTTAACATTTAGTTTGTTCATGCTGTCATGTTGCACATTCTGGTCTCTCATTTGCACTTTTTTCTCTTTTGTTTCTCTCTTTTTTACACAGGTTGTTCAGAAGTTGCACCAGTTTACCTTTGATCTCTTTGTCCAAGCCCGGTCTCTGCCCACGAAGGTCAGCTTTCCCGAAATGATTGCAGAAATAATCTCGGTCCAGGTGCCAAAGATGCTCGCCGGCCTGTCTAAACCAATCCTGTTCCACAAATGACAGGACCACGCCCCCAATCTATACCAAGCCCACCCAGGCCATATGAGCCAGTCAGTTTGGTCTGATCCAGCCTAAACCAGCCTGCGATGCTTTGAATCTGGACTCGAATTGAGCGACGAGACTGAACAATACTGATTTTTTGATTTTTCCATTTTTTAGCATTTCCCTCTCCCTCTCCCTCTCTCTCTCCCTCCCACCCTTTCTATCTCAGTCTCGTCTCTCCCTCCTTTTGAAAAATGGCCCTGAAAAGTAGCGGGACCATTACATCATTACAGTTGTCTATCTTCTTCTCGGAGATGATTTGAGCTCATTTTCTCAAACTGACAGCATGGTGTGAAGCAGGTTTTGTTCTTTCTTTAGACCAGCAGTTATCCTTCAAGAGTTACAACGTGTTGCCTGGTGGACAGGTTGGAAAAAAAAAATATCACACTGAAGTTTCATCTGAGCCCTTAATCATAAAAAGAAGAAAAAAAAGACATTAAGCAGATCCCTTTCCAAGTCTGTGACCTGCCTTGACTCTGTGCATAGCGGGATAAAAAGGTTTCATTTATTGTCCATGACTTGAGAGATCAGGACAAAGCAAAGCAGCATGCATAGAGAAATACGATCGAATGTGGCAAAAACCCGGGACAGATTCTTTTTACTTGTGACAAAAATTCTAAGTACAGTACCATAGTATTAAAACAGTACGGAATTCAGACCGGCTATCGGTCCTCCTCCCTGCTTTATTAGTTTATTGATTGTAAAACAAGTGCTTCATTCATTTCTTATGAAATGTAGAGGCTCTTTATAAAAGCTTTTTAAAAGGCATCATTCATTCAGGATGTTCAGACGAATTCTGACTATTTCGTTCATTTGAAAATCGCTCACAGTTGGGTTGAAAATTCACTTTCGCCACTGAAAACAAAAGGACAGCATGATGATGATGATGATGATGATAACAGCGCTATAGTAAAAACATCTCACAGTCATTAGGGAGTTGCCTCCTCTAGACAGCAGACTTTTGTTAAGACGGGGCAGATTGCCCTTATTTACAACCTGGATATTGCGGTGCAGGTTTTAGGGTATAATGTTGACAGTTTGTATATAGAACACAACAACTACAGCAATGCTTGGGTCATCATACAAGATCTTCAAATATATATCCGTATCTAAACCTATTTAAACCTATGCATGCTGTCTTCATATCCATCACTACAAAACAAGAAACCAATAACTGCATGCTGAAGCCCTAGATATTCACACAAACCAAACTGCATTTCCAGTAAGCTAAATGGATATTGTTAGGAAACGGGACTGTTTCCCATAAAGCTCTTACTAAGTTACTCTCTCTTTCACTGTCCTTAATGGAAGATCTGGCAAGGTAATGTTCTTGTGTATATATGTAAAAGTTAAGCGTGGTTCTTTTCAACCTTTCTATGTGCTAATGTATGGATGTAGTCAATAGTTTTACAGTACAGTTTCCTCTCTTTCCTTTATAGTAAGTGCCACTGAGGGATTTGTATTTCTCTGCGCTAGCAATAAGTAATCACATGCTTAACACAGTCTTTTAACAAGCTCTTTTAGAATACCAAAACAGGCTTCAGACGGTGCACACCTTTAAAAACAGACAAAACAAAAGACAAAAAAGAGCTATGCTTATGTGCTAACATAACGGGACAGTACTGTTATTTTATCAGAAACTCGTACCAAACATCTTTATCACCATCAACTGACGCACAGCAGCGGCAAGTGGTGCTATAAGCTCTCCTCTTTATTCACGAGGGTGTTAGATGAGACGAAAAAAGACAAAAAAAAACTACGTATTTTTTACTCTGCTTTTGCTTCAATTAAAGCATTCTCTATTTATCTGTCAGAAAGGAACATCTTTACTCGCTTTCCTCATACTTGGGCGCTGTGCGTGTTTTCTAGACGTCGTGTCAACTTTTTTCCTCTGCACGCTCTCCGTTTCTAAATGATTGAATAATGCCTGCAGTGTTATGTATGTAGATTACTCTTTAAAGAGCCCAAAAATCGCGGCGCTGTGTTGTCTTTGTCAGGCCTGGGGTGACCTGGGGTGTACTTTCAGCAGAGCAGGGAGTTTTCCGACGAGTTAAAACGACGAGATGTGGTTTAGCTGCTCGAGCTCTTGTCGCCGCCGAGCATGTTGACGGTTTAAATGTGCCAGGCAGAGAATAGGCTGTCAGAGAAAGCTCCTCTGCGCTGACAGCACCGAGCACCGCGCAATTACACGCAGGTGTTTACCCATTTAGACGGCCCAAAAGCACTCATTAGAATTTGCAGAACTCCAAGCCTCACTTTTACCCTGCCAAAAAAAAAAAAAGAGCCCACGACTTCCACCGCAAACATGCAGCGCTTTAGGACAGAGCCCGAAGCCAAAGTCTGATCACAAAAGTCGTTCGTTCGTTAGCTGACGAATGTTTGGAGGGGGGTGCACGTGCATGTAAACACCGATGTGCTTCATTCGTACGTGACTAACGTTACGTTACTCTCTCTCTCTCTCTCTTTCTCTCGCCGTCTTATAATTGTCTGTTTACAATGGAAACTTTATAACATGCGACACCTCGTTTGGCTCTGGCGCTGCGCTCTTGAACCGACCCGTGCTTGGATGGTCCATAAGCTGATTTGTGTGACTTTCTTAACACATCTCTTATGAGCTATAATGTAGAACTTTGCGTGTGTTGGTTTTCAATTAAAGTCTTAGGATTTACTGTTGCTGTGTGCGGTGTGGTCAGCCAATAGCAAAAGCATATGTGTATGTTTATATGCGCTCTTGTAAATCTGTTAGCAGCCTCTGCTTCCTGGATGAAAGAAAGCAATAAGGACTTTTTTTTTGGTGTCATTTGCCAAATATTGAATTAGGCCTAAAGGTTTGCTCGGATTCGAATGTGAACGAGAGTCTTAATAACAGTCTGCATGTCACCAGGATGCTTCCTGTGGTTATAAATTGGTCTTTCAGAACACACGGAGGGGGCAAAAGTTACCGAACGACTTCTCAGCGATGAGGAAGGCAATTTGGCTTTCTAATGTGCGTCTTAACTGCAAAGTATCTTGACGTTGAGTTGTAGGTTAAACTGAAACACTAGCGCGACAGACGCTAAATGTGCAAATGAAACCATACAAAACATTTGCAGGCAGAACTCTATCTACTTTATGAAACCATATTAAAAAAAGTCCCATTTATGTAACGATGATTTGGATTTGTTTGATTTTTTAACTCTTTCTCTTCACTGGCTGACACAAGCAACTACAAGACTAATAATTAGCGAATGCTTTTTTACTGCTTTTTTCTCCGGTGTGAATAATTCCTGTCTTTTCCTGGTGTTATGGGATATTTTGGCCTTTCCATATGCAGAAGGAGGAGCTGGAGAGTTTGGCTTTCTATGACTAGAAGTGGAAATTCTGGCTTCTTAAATGATGTTTGTTACTTCAATCTTTGTAACTTTATAGTCTTTTTTTACAGCAGTTGTGTGTACGTGTGAATGGGTGTGCGTCTGTGCATGCACGCTTTTTCGCAGATTATTTAGTACTGCTATGTAGTGTTGTATTGACAGTTGTTAACTGACGATTTCTTTGGAGCAGTTTGCAAACTGATTTTTACTCATACGGAATATCGCTTATCAGACGTGCTCTGATTCCTGTTGTGTAGAGCCTGTGTAAATCCAGTTTGTTTGTGTTTTACCGCTTTCAATTCAATAAAAAAAATATCTGAAAGTCATTCTCGAACACGTTTTCTTTCCCAGTGTCGTGCGTTGGTCCTCCAGTAACAACTGGGCACGAGGAGCGTTTCTTTGGTGGGAGCTTGTCTAACCTCTTTAGGCCGTGACTTTTTTGCAGTTTGGATTCTGACTGATGCACAGCTGTTTTAATTTAAACTGGATTCCAGAGGTCTATTCTCCTCCTGCTCGTGTATTGATTATTATCGTGAGGCCGTTTCATTTATACCCCGGGTCAGCTCTGTGCATTTATACCTTGCTTTCATATGAAAAAACAAACTCGGCTCATTTCTTTTGTATAAAGTTGCATTTTCTTGCAGCAGTACATTCAAACAAACAAACATGGTTTAGTGATTGTTACGAAGAGTTAATGCTTAAGAAACAATCAAATATTTACAAAAACAACATAAAATCACAGCTGGAGCTTTGAGATGACAATAATACGACAAAGGAGAATGTATACAGGGCTCTTATAAAGTGACCTGAAATTGAAACGTACCAAAAACACATCAACATGAATGGTTTCCATTTCCACAAGTGAGAACTAGACTTAAAAGCTTTAGCGTTCACATTATAGATTCACACTGACCAACAGAAACTCGATACTGAAAGTCATCTCTATACTCTGTCACTGGGGTAGTAACTTTTTAAAAGGTATATTTTTGTTCCTAACTGGTCCTTAAAGGTACATATTAATACCTAAAAAGTACAAGTGTGTACCTCATGGTATCTTGAAAGTACAAAAGTAAAGCTTAAAGGTACAAAAGTGTACCATAAAGGTACTAATGTCCACCTGTATGGTGCAAAACTGTACCTTTTGAAAAGGTATCTCCCCAGTGTTACATTTTGTACCTTTATTTCTGAAAGTGTACATCAGTAAGGCTGACGGATCATTAAAAGGCGAGAGAAAGGCTTCCTCAAGCAGTCAAGCAGTTGAGAAGTTCCTCAACCAAAAACAAACGTGTCCCGGCAGATAAAAGAAGAAACGCTTGGCAATTATAGTAACTGCTCTTCTTGTCAGAAACATTTAAAAGCAGCACCCAGGTCATTCATCTCCTTCCAGTTACTAATTACGGAGATGATAACAGATAATTAATAGAAGCGTGTTCAGCTTCTGCCTAATTAAATACTGATTAGTGTCGATACGGAATATTATATAATTTATCTGGAGTGTAGCACATTCTATGGCTGGTAAAGTGAAGTCTGTAGTGCGAGACTGTAAACTGCGTCTTATCGCTTTCGTAAGTAGGTCAGAGAAACGGGGAGATACTGAGAGACACGATGACCGAGAGAACAGGAGGAAGTTTCTCCCTATTGTGCGCAGGAAGGTCAAAATGTTTAAGCAAGAAAAAAAAAAAAAAAAGATTCAATGCTTTCCTTTTGTTCTTCGATCCAAGCGAGAAACAACCACTTAGTAAGCAAGTGCAGAAATTGGCGGCGAAAAAAAAAAGAAAAGTACTTTCGTAAAAAAAAAAAAAAAAAAAAACTGTAGTGAAGGGCCGTGCCTTGTGCTCTGTCAGTCATATTAATAATTTATCTCTCAAATCCGCATCCGGACTCTGGCCTGTGCCGTACGAGGACACGCAGTCATGTGTAAAGCGCTTCCACATCCACATCCATCCTCAAGTTCTCATTTAGTGTTCTGTGAAGAAACAAACGTAAGTGACAGAAATGAGCATTAGCGCTATAGGTTACTGTGATAATCTAAATAAAACAACAGAACATGCCGTACCTCGTCTCTTGACGCTGCAGGTGAGGCGTTCGGAGAGGAGCTGCAGAGGGTACAAAACGCCAAGTGGTTATGAATTGAAATCTTTTCAGTGTCTTTGAAAATTTTCTCATTACTTACTCACACTCATGTCGTTCCAAAGCCGTTAGCTGTTTTTATGGAAAACTGACAACAATTTCAATAATTTCCACAAAGGGACAAGGCTGTCAAGCTCCGAAAATTGCCCAAAAGAGGCTGCATCAAAGTCTTGCGTAAAACTCTCAATTCACGAGTCAATGGGGTGCAGTTTAATGTTACAAAGTTTTGGTCAGGAGACTGAAAAATAGCTAGAAAATTTGTTATGATTTGAAATTAATTCAAACAAAATTTTAAAGAAAAACTTTGGACGTTATAAATATTGCCTTACCAGCTAAGCCAAATTTAAATAAATAAAAATGGGATCTTAATAAACTAATTCTAATTTATAACTAAGTTATTATAACTAATAAAACTAAATACAATTGAATGAAATAATACTGACAAAATCACACAAACAAATGACTGAAACATTAAAGAAAGAAATGAATGAAATTGTTTAATATAACGACTAAATATAACGTTAGAACAACTTTGGCAAATACATTCATTAATTTTCCTTCGACTTAGTCCCTTTATTTATCAGGGGTTGCCACAGCGTAATGAACCGCCAACTATTCCAGCATATGTTTTAAACAGCAGATGCCCTTTCATCTGCAACCCAGTACTGGCAAACACTCATACACTCTCACATTCACGCTCAGACACTACAGCCAATTTAGTTTATTCAATTCACCTCTAGCAGATGTCTTTGGACTTGTGGGGGAAACCGAAGCACCCGGAGGAAACCCATGCAAACACGGGGAGAACATGCAAACTCCACACAGAAACGCCAACTGACCCAGCAAGGGCTCGAACAAGCAACCTTCTTAATGCTAAACAATGAGCCACCATGCTGCCCGGCAAATACATTTTCCTGTATATGAAGTTAAATCATAACTTTAGTCTAGATGATATGAAAATATTTTCCTCCTGTAAGATGTTTAAACACACTTTGACATATTCTTTTACTGATTAATATTAATACAGGAGCTTGACAAGGTTTATCTAGCCAGATGAAATAGTCCTTAAAATTCTCCCTTTGTATTCCAGCGAACATAAGAAGGGTTTGGAATGACATTAGGCTGAGTAAATGATGACAGAATTTTCATTTTTGGCTGAATTATTCCTCTGATATGTGACTTGCGCTGTCAACGGTACATTAGACTGTATTTGCATGAAATATGGGCACCTGCGTGGCCAGCGCTGTGAAATGAATGGGGTGTGGTGCTTTATTGCAGGAGTTCATTTCTGTTAACTTTGATGTTTTGCATCGGTCGAACCTTTTATCTGCCTCTCCTCTGAGAGTTTCCTGAGGGATCTGTTCTAGCAGTGTGAAAGGCCTTGAACTCCAACTACACAAGTGTGTGCGCAGGCTTGGAGAGCAGCCACCGGCACTGAAGAGGATTCTCCGAAACTCCAGCAGCCAGCCAAACAGGCAAAAGTGATCATCGTTTCATACTACTGATTTTAGATTAAACACACACACACACACACACACACACACACTGATATCAGAGCAGTAGCTTGCTACCGACAGCACAACTATTTGAACTTTCCTGTTGTGTCTAGGAAAATCTTCAAGCAGGACACGGTCGCCTTATTTGAACCCTTGTGCTTAAAGGGAAAGTTCACTTCAAAATTCTAATTCTGTCAACATTTGCTCAACTTGCATGACTTTGTTTTCTGTGAAACGCAGGCGGAGAAATGTGAAGAATGTAGCTCTTGTTTGTGCCGTAAAAATGAGTGGAGCACACTTTTCAG